TTACGGCCACCGTGAGAATCTGGTTTTAGTTCATTGACACTTCATTATTCCTTGTTACGTTCGCATTCAGAGAGATTTCACGGCGACACGGCGAGAAGAAAAGAAAGAAAGAGAGAGAGAGAGAGAGAGAGAGAGAGGGAGAGCAATTCTGTGTGTTTCACTTCTCTTTCTCTTCCTTGATTTACGATTTTGTTACGGTTATTTTACCGAAATTAATTAACGATTAAGTTACGCTCACATTTACTCTGCTCTCCGGGCATATCTAATTTCTTTGCCTAAGAATTCGAGCTTCGTTATTTTAACCGTTGTGGTAAGTGTCTTTTACTCCCGCGCTTCCATCCCCCGCGGCGTTAATACGTAACTAACCTACCGTGACGAGGAAGGATATCTTGTAAATAACGAATCTGCGTGAAACACGAATGAAAACTAGCTTCTGATATTAGAGCGCGCATAAAATGACGGTGTGCAATCGCAGAGCGCGATTCGCGATTCGCGAAGAGTCCGCGAGCGAGTTCGAGTAGCTGCGCAACTGCGATATTCCCAAAAGTGCATTTTTAAGGTTGCATTTTTAAGGCTCTACGAACAATTCTGAAAACGCTCTCGAGCCGCTAATGGAGAATTCACGGTAACTTCTAACTGCTACTCATCAAATTCCGTTCCATGCGGGCGATTACGCGCCACCCAAATATATATATACGTATACAAGCGTGTAAACCACGTCGCGGAACGCGGATTTATTTCGAACGATAAGTAGAGGTTCTCCGCCTCGAAAAATGACAAATATACAACAATCGTTTCACCTTCCAAATTGATTGTTTAACATTCCTTGTTTGCCCGTTAAAATCGCATACAAATTGCATTAATTTCCACAAGTAAACACGCGGAAATAAACGGAATAAACAGACTCACCTGCCTTTTAACGAGAGCATCGAGCTTCGAGTGAGCGCTGATAAATCGATTCTATCGGGCCGCATAGCTTTCGCGCGCGTTGCATGTTATTTTTTTTTGAAGCTGATTTATGCATAGGTTGCCATTTAGCAGCGCGTAAATATTGTACTCTGCGAAAACGTACAGCAGCGGATCTGCCACTGTGTGTTTCGACGCGTAGCGTACGTCGAATAGCTGTCGCAATTAAAAAGAGAAATTAAAAAATTGTCATTAAGCTCGCGATAGTCGAGCGATACCGCGCGCGCGCGGAACCCGAGGTTCTCCGATATCTCCGATGAGAACAAGTTCTAGCTAGTTGTTTTGCGATTGAAACATTAAACTACCTTGTATCTTGCATCAAAACACACATACACGCAACATACACATTTGCTTTCGCCCTCGCGACTTGTAAAATCGACAACAGCCGCGCGCGCGCGATGGTTCTATTACGACACGAAAACAATGTCAATGACCTGACAGTTCGCCGAGGACGCTTATTGTTAGTGGCAAAGTTCACGTACGGTACGGCAAACTGTACGCTCGCTTCACATATCAACACATCCGCGAACCAACACCGCGGTGTCGATCCCTAAAAAGGGGTTGTGGCGTGAGCTTCAATCCCCCGGATACGAGTCGGTCGTCTTATCGGGTCGTACGGCTTTGGGGCATCATTATGTGTCGCTCCCGACGTTTCCAACCTCCGCGATAGAGCGAGGGGCGCGCCCGTTTCGGCGCTGGTGGCGCGATATTTGTGTGGTACGCGCGTCCGTTGACTCTGTCGTTTGTGCGGTGCGGCGTTACATATCGCCGCTTCACGAGTGTCCGCGTCGTACCGTGTGCGGGGGTGTGCGAGAACGGCGCTACCCTTTATCAACGGAGGGCTGCGAGAGATCACACGCCTTCTAGGTATTGTACCTACCTCTTACGCCGCTCCGTACCACCTCCTCCGCAAGCAGGCTCGTTGTCCTTTATTTCGGGGTAATGTTGCGTGATAACAACCAAAGCTGGCTCGACTACAGTCTCTTCTTCTCCCCTTCGGGATCGTCCCGAGGGAGGGATTATCGGTACAGTCGGCAGGTTTTTAAAGAGAACGACCGCGCTCGATGGATAGAACGCGTTCGAAATCTCGTGGATTGTTTGACTCATGGATTGTCTGACGACTCCCGTTGACGGACAAAGTGTGTTACGCAGGGGCAACAATTGGTGTAAGACGTCGAGGAGAGGCCATTGAATAATTTATTGTTGATTGTCTCAGCCCGTAACGAAATATTAGCTTGCGGCTTCATTATCGAGATGGCTTAACGTAAAATATTGAAATGCGCTGAGTAATACGTCGAGATTGAGAAGCTTTTAGAGGGAAACGAGTCGTGAACGGAATTGTTAACTATTAAAGTTATTAAATATCGCATGAAATTATACTCGCCGGCACGAAAACGTCGCTTGCACGACGTTAAGAGCAAATTATCGTATTATTATGCGACTCTCCGGCTGCAGCAGTTCTTTCGCGATCTTTTATCTGCAATTTCACGGCAGCGTCATCGTGCGCGCGCGCGCCGTCGCCGCGCGTCGAACGCTTTATCTTGGGGTAATGTTGCGTGATAACAACGCGAACGGCGGAATCGTCCCGGCGGGACGATTATTAGTGCCGCCTGCAGTTTCTTGAAGACTAGCGATAGTCGATAAACAACTCGGTAGTGCCTGCGCGCCGCCTGCATTATTAAGCTAGCTGAATACTTTTGTCTGCGCGTATTAATCGCGCATCAATTATTTCCGTCACGTTCACCCGGCCGCTCTTCCATCTCTCCTTTACGTTAATGTTTATTTTTTTATTATGCGACTCTTCCCTTAAATGTGAGCAGATATATCGCGAGGGCTCGCGACTGTGATATACGCTCCGTATCGTTTTTCCAAATTGCATTTACGTGCGAGATCGCAGTACACACAGTGAGTCGACGTTGTTAATTGACAATAAATTCGACCCGCGAGGATCGCGTTTGGATTTTACAACACAATATGCGCGTAACATCCGCGAAATATTTTAACGGTTAAGGATACGCCGTAAATATACGATCTCGTGTGTCATAAGCGTATCGTCGGAGAAAGGAGAGCAGCAGCGAGCGCAGTTGCTGTAGGAAGGGCTCGTGGAGCGTTCTTATTATCCTCATGCGCTGGTGTTTTCTTTCAACAAATATTATACCGGGCGTCCACTTTAGACGCGACGAGGAAAGGAACGAGAGAGAGAGAGAGAGAGAGAGAGAGAGAGAGAGAGAAATTTAGTCCTTCGTAAAATGTACGATATAATGAAATACACGCTGCGTGGGGTGGAAACGAAGCTGAAGATTCGAGAAAATAAAGAGAAGGCGGAGGAAGGTACGGGTAGTTAGGATTCGGTACGACCTACGTATCTACTTACCTGCCTCGCTTCTCTTCAGGGTTTACCGCCACTCGTTGGACTCGTCGAGTGTCGGGAGAGAAGGACGTGATGTAGCGGTGAAGGAGAAAGAAGTCCGTTGAGTAGGTGCGCGGGGGTAGTAGTGAAAGATGAATAGAATCGTTGCATGTGCTTCCGAATTATGCCGACCCGGCGGCGGGCAGGCAAGAATGACGAGGCACTTGTGAAAAATGTAATTCAACGCAGGTTCAACGGCCGTTTCGACAAAGGCTAACAATGCTGTAGCCTTCCGCTCGTTCTGTGTTTGTTATTCCGAGTGCGTAAGAAAGAGAGAGAGAGAGAGCGAGAGCGAGAGAGAGAGAGAGAGAGAGAGAGAGAGAGAGAGAGAGAGAGAGAGAGAGAGAGAAGTTGACTGTGTTTCGTCTTCATATGAGCATTGCGGTTGTTCATCAATGAATGAATATTCTGTATGGTTTTCGATTTGATGCTGTGCTAATATTCGTCATATTTGCTAATATAGAACTTCTCAAACACATTCGTCTTCTTATGCTAATATTCGCGATATTTGCTTTTAACAGTGAGCCCGGAGTATTTCGGGTCATTTGTTTTTCACCGTTCCGATCGACTCGATGAAAAAACTCGTGTAGGTTCTCGCGTTATGTCGCGTGTGTGGCGGACGTAAACGTTGTCGCACGATAAAAAGAATAACCAAAACTTTCAGAGTAATATAGTTAAAAGGCTGTTATGCAGGGGAGAACGCTATCTCCATAACGATCGATTTCCTTGAAGCGTGAATTTGCGAACCATCACCGACGTCGGGTTCCGCCATGACGGTGGTGGTGAGATGGTGTTGAGGGTGGAAAATAGTAGATGAAAGAGAGAGAGAGAGAGAGAGAGAAAACTCGTTCGACTCTATAATTTGCTTCGAAATTGCTTACTTCCGGCATAGTTATACACTTACGACGATGTAATCGCGTACTTACGGTGACTTTCATCATCGAGCTCATCCTTTGTAATATGACGGTAACGGCTGCTATTATCGATATCGGTGTCTTAGGAGTTGTCCTAAAATATTCTTTACGTCAGAGGCGTACAAAAGAACCAAGTATTTCTTGATGTCTCTTGATATTCGTCTCTCGATAAGCTGAAACATTTTTCAAACACGTTTGCCGTCACGTGTGCGTAACGTTACGTCTCTCGTAACGAACGTTACGTATATGCGCGTATCAGAAAGTGATAATCTTTTATACACGGTTAACAATATCTGATACATAAATGTGTGTGTGTATGTGTGTGTATCGAATAAAACTATTTGAGTCGTAGCGGTGTGTGCGTACGGAGCTTTTAAAATGCATAGTGGCGGCGAACGTGTTAATCTATATAGACGGAAATTCGTTATTTTTTTTCATTCTGCCGGAAATACGTTTCGCATATCGCGCTGCCTTCAATGCCGTTTTCAATAGTTAACGAAATTGTTGGGTGGAACCAGCAATTTTAACTAGGAAAGCAAGACTCGTCGCGATCACGAGAGTCATCACAAAGAGTGAAAAGCAAAACAATAATAGGTTGCAAGAGATTATACACGATTCCTGAAATAATCGCTACTTTATTATATACGAATACCATTTATACGTCGCAAGTGAAAAATATTATGTATTCGAAGATCGAGAAGGGAGCCCGCTTATTTTCTCGACACATTTTATTATGTAATATAAACTTATGTGTTATACATCGCTACATGCTTTGGCTTAACCGCTAGTCCTATCGGCTATCCTTAGGGGCTAGAATGCACAGTGACTTGTACAGAATCATCATCGTGGCACTCCTCTTACTCCTCCCATTGATCTGTCATTGATTTGTCATTGTCACGTGGACTGCGATTAACGCGCGAAAGGGGTGAGGACGAGAGAGTATGCGCGTTCGCGCGTGTTATTTGTTATCGGATGGCTACTTGTTTGTGGTAAAACACCATTATATTAATAAAGCAACTGTAAAGAGTACACAATAATACGAATGTTACAATAAAACAAAAGCACTCGCAATTGACACAATTAGGCGTTTCATCGAGAGCACGAAACGATCCCCTTAATATGTAGGTGGCATAAAAAATGCAGAGCTCCGCGAAGCAAAATAATTTCTTGCTAAATTGGGATTAAGCGGATAAAGATCGCACTTTAAATTATTCGCATTTTTCCCGGCAGAAACGAATCCTGATTCAACCGCGCCGAATCAAATGTATAAAAACGTACAGATACATTTATCCGGGCATACGAAATTTGTAGCCATCCGTGCTGTTCGGTTCGCTGCTATTTCGAGCATACCCACTCCTCTTCTCCTCTACCCGCGTCTCAGAAGCTCTCGTCGCGAAAGCGTTCCCGTTTTAGTTTACAAAACATTTATCCTTAATGCATCTAACTGCGAGACGGCAACGGCTCGGTCCTCCTTCCTATGTATATATATATATATATATATATATTTATATATATTTTTTATATATATAAATTTATCAGGAAATGAAAAGCGGCTCTCTCATGTCGCCGTGCGGTATTGTTCCATGAAAGATTTTACAATACGCCGGCTGGATTTCCGTGTCGTGGGGATTAGCCCGGCCCGATATTTTACCTCCACTGCGCGCTCTCCCGCCTACGGCGGCTTTCAAGGGATTCTCCTGGCGAAGATCAGCCACTAATTATCGCGGACGATCGGGTTTTAACGTAATACAAGAGAGAGAGAGAGAGAGAGAGAGAGAGAGAGAGAGAGAGAGAGAGAGAGAGAGAGAGAGAGAGAGAGAGAAGGGGGAAAGAAAGAGAGAAGGAGACCATAAGTAATACCGCTGTAATTAAGATTATCCGCCGCGTGTTTCCTGTATACATTTAGCGCGGAGATTCGCGTTTGAAAGATAGACTAGACAGAGAACGGTGCATCTCTCTCTCTCTCTCTCTCTCTCTCTCTCTCTCTCTCTCAATCTCTCTTACAGAATGCACGTCTGAACTTTTGACTGTAATTTTAACGAGGTGGGAGCCTTTGGCGAATTAGGGAGTCAATTCTTCCGCGGGGAAAATCTCGTCGAAGCCGGTCGTCCCGTTTCTTCTCTTCTTATATACCGAATCTGAACCGGGGAATCCTGCAGCTAATGTGTTCCTATATCGCTCGCTCGATTTTTTACTTATTATTAGAGAAATCGTGGCTTGCACAGCTGGATGTTTAAGAAGAGATCTTAGCGCACGAGCAGAGAAATTGCGTTTGTATAAAAACGTTATACCGTCTTACTCTATGCGAGAGTATTGTCCAACTCTTTGTGAGTGTTTTCACGTCTTTTTTTTTTTTTTCTCGTGTACGTCTGTTTTATATTATTATTTATGAATTAATGCACGCGCGATAAATGGAGTTTATTCGAGGAGGGGAGGCGGGAATTTCGGGAGGGAACGCGGGGGAAGAGAGATGCGTAACCGGAGGCACGCACCGGCGGCAGTTCGCGTTTAAAATTGTTCACGTGCAATCGGGCTCTCCCCGTATTTACTCATTATCACCGCGAAGATTGGCCTTTCATTTCTGTGTTTACGGCGCGATGAACAAACGTAGATATTACTATGCGGCGGCACGCGAATTTGCGCGTGCATGGAATGCGCCGCATTCGCGTGCATACTGTTCTTTCTTGCGGCACGGCGCTTGCGGCGAGTTGCGCACGTGGGAGCTGACGCGCAGAAATTATTACTATTATATCACGCGCGAAATCGATTTTCAAAATTTCAACGATATTTTATTACGACAGCGCGCACGGCTAACCGAATACGATGCTCTCTCGCGTCTTTCATATCCGGCCACTGATATCGTAAATCAATCCCTTTCATTTCGAAGATAAAAACTTTACGTTTCGAGGATAAAAATTGTGTAATACTTCAGCTACGCGGCTGCGGCCCGCCATTCTCACCGCGCGTTTAGCTCTGAACGCGGCTGTGTAATCGTCGTGGCGCACGTACATATTACGTATGTATCGGCCGAATGCTGCTCACGTTCGCATACGCACGCATTCGCTATTCCTTTATACTAGAGAAATGATCACTACTTTTCTGACCTACGGTAATTTAATCATTTAATTTAAAATTTAATTTAATTTAATTTAATTTAATTTGATTTAATTTACTTTAATTAATCGTCATCTAACTAAATGTCACGATCGCGTCAGCCGTATTCAGCGTCAAGCGTTCAGTAAGAATAGCGGTTGTACGTAGACGCTATACGTGAAGGACAAGCCGTGCGTCAACATGCGTCGCATACGGAATTCAGCGTTGCACCTTCAAATTTTCATCCCCTTTCGAGATACTTTCGTCCGTTTTATTCCGCCCGCAAACACCTGCAAGTCGACTTTCGCGCTTCCCGACCGAGAACAACGCGGAACTCCGCGTCGCGGTCGCGACAATACGAGCCTAGTAATTAACGAGTTACAATTAGACGTTAGTTGTTAATTATTATCGTTAAATTTATGCCTAAGATATAATACACTCACCTAAGACGTACCTGATGATATTTTTGTAAAAATTTCCCTACCACGCCACGAGAGAGAAAGAGAAAGAGCGAAGATGATAGTCAAAGAGATAGAGTGAAAGAGTGAAAGAAAAAAATGGGAGCGAGAAAAAAAGAAATAGAGAGAGAGAGAGAGAGAGAGAGAGAGTGAGAGGGGGGGAGGGGGGACAGAGAAAGAGAGACGCAGTCCTCTCGGTGACAGTGGAGGAAAAACGTTTGCGAAACCCGCTTTATAGGTTCCTTCTCTATTCTCTGGTATCCTTCGGCGTTGTCGAGCGAGGAGACGCTATGCAAAAACACGCACGCGGGATCTTGTCCAAAATTCTATGTGAGCGAGCGTCTCGCGTTGCAAATTGTCCTGACGTTTATCCGATACGTCCGGTACACGATGCGCCGAACTTACGTTTTCCGCGCGGGGAGTGTTCCGACCATTGACGCATGACGCTTCAAATCTTGTTGAGTGTGTTATTTTTTAGGAACAGTACTACACACTAAAAAAAAAGAAAAAAAGAAACGAGAGCGACAGAGAAATAGAGAGAAAGTTCCGGACCTTGCCCTTCTCGCAGTGTCGAGGTGGAGATTATAAAAAGCCGAAAGTATATTAAAAAAATATATAAATTTCCGAATTGGAATCACATCAAGATGCTAATTGCAACTTCGTTGACTTCCTTAATGATTTATACTTTTTGGAGGGACTTTGCTCGAAATTTCGTCGGTACTATCTCTAAGGTTTACATCATCAACGACGATACATACAATTAAGGATTGACAGTGTCAATCATCGGCGGTAATCAGAGAGTACGAGGCTAATAAAATAATGTTAATAAAAGCGAAGAAAGTTTATCAACGCGCGCGCGTTTCACGAGACTCCGACGTTACGGGATTCCCTTATATACGCTATTGCGACTCTCGCGCCTTCGCGGTCGTTTCCGTTTCACGGTGGGAAATAGCGATCCGATAAAAACTTCGCTTTAAGTAACGTATGTTCGGGAATGCCGGCTTAATCTCGGCCAGACTTCGATGTTGCACGCGATGCGGTTGAGTTTCGTCGAGGAATTCTCTCACACCTGACCGCGCAGCTCGCCGGTCACACCGCGGTCCGTCATTTGTACCGGCGATTAAACTGTCAGCTTAATTACACCTAACGTTTTTCTTCCGGAAAGTCGGACCAATTTTCCAATTATACGAAGGTTCATTTCTTCTTTCGATCGCGTGCAGAGGTGTGCCGAGGTGTGTTATTACCTCGTCCCGGCGATCGTTAAACTCTCTTTTGACGCGAGCAAAAGTCGAGGATTAATTTAATTTCAGGTAACGATTTATCGAACTGAGGTGTAGAAATTAATCCGAATCTCTTTGGCAATTGCTTGCGCGCGAGTGCACGCGTCTCGATGTGATTAGATACTTATTTTTATCCGGCTTAGTGCGAATCACCACGTGAATTTGCGGTCGAGTCATTTTTCTTCCCGAGTGAGTTTAAACAGAAAACTCACACGATTTTTTACATTTACCCAATTCGCATTACAGCGCGAGACATACTTCAAATGGATATATCTGTGCGTGCTTCTCTCTTTTTCTCCCCTCTCTCCTTCCTTTTTTTTTTCCTTTATGGTGATTTTGGCAACAACAAATTCAACAAACAAGCGTCGATTGTTCAATTACTTCGAAAACAAAAAAGTGAAAAAAAAATCGAAACCGAGCCGAGCACCCAAACGTTCGGACGAGTGAAAATTGAGCCTCAAACGCATTTTAGTCATACGCGTGGAAACACGATACGATGCGTGGCAGCTATTTGGATTTCTCTTTGGCAATCTTTGTGTTTTCAACGCTCGCAGTCTGAAGCGAGCTGCGCACGCGTATGCGCGCGTGTGTGTGTACCGCGCGCTGTGAGCGCGCGACATCAAACGACGATGAATATAAACGAGTAGGATAAAGTCGCCGAATGATAATGTTTCGCCGTGATCGTTCGTCGCGAAATTACGCGGTGGTTGCGAATATCAGATGCGATTGCAAATATTACAGTATTGCGTGTTTGAATGCGCGGCTCTTTTCAGCCTCATCTTTCAACGCAGCCGCTATTTAGCGAGACTCAATTATAACGCGGGTTTATTTGTTATCTCGGTACATTACCCGCGCACGATTATCGTGATAACTGTGTTTGCGAAAACGCATCTCGCCGTCTCTGTGCCAATGGTCGATGCGATAATTATCAATCTTTTTACCTTAAAAATTCGCGATATTTTTTATCGAGTTTTCAGTAATATATACTGTCAAGCTACGCGAAATGCTTCTTGAAGCTCGCTTTAGACGATGCATGATCGACGATAGAATTCACATCGGGAATCCTAATTATATCAATTTTCTCACACTTAATCACACGTGCACACGTGTTCGTCAGATCGTCCCGCAGCAGAAAATAAATAACATGCTCGCTCGCAGAACACAAGTTTTAAATTTCCATCCGTAACGTATTCTTATTGAATCGTATGCGGATGTACCAATATTATTTATAATAAACCACGGAGTCTGCAAATAAGAACATTATTGTAGAAATTTCTATGCAATCGCGCGCGCTGTCGCATAAAATTTTCACTTGCCTGCATTTTAGCGTGACGCGAGTTTGTTTCTCATTCGTAACAATGTTTTACACTTCAGTGACAATTTGGCGCATAAAATTAGATAGGTCTCTCGCGATTCGCGGCTCGTCCAAAACGGGCTTCGCGCACACAATCCACCTTCGTGAATACGAATAATTTCTCGATCATCGCGCGATGCCACGACTCTCGATACAAAAGATATTCGCGTTATTTTCTCGTAAGCACTCGTGGGCACCCACCCCCCTGCCGCCGTGAATCACCCTCATCGCGACGCGCATCCTCCGGTCGCGGTCGCGACCGCGCTCCTCGCTCGCCTCGTCCTCGTCGAAAATTACCATCTGCTCGCTCGACCCTTCGCCCGCCGCGAGCGAGTCACTTTGGTACACGTGTTCGTGGAAGGGGACCGACGTGGATGACGACTACCAATGGTAGTCTATGATCGGTTTGCTCTCCGAGCACGGGTTCACGCTGCCGCACCACTTGGTCTCCTTCAGCGGCGGACAGGATGCGCCGCCTCGACGCGGCTTTGTCGTGACCTTCCGCGTCCTCTGAGTCTCGCCTACTCCGCAGCTACGACTGCACGCGCTCCACGGACCCCACTCGCCGACCTTGCAATCTCTGGGTGCACCTGGAATCACGAATGCAATTATTCCGCTCGGAAGGACTCTCCACGGGTCCGCGTCTAATCTCGCTACGTGCACGGGAATTCCCGGAGTAGATATGTGACTGTAATCTGCGAGATAGGTGGCCGCGATGGAAATACAGGAGGTCTCTTGGCTTCAGTTTTAAAGGCTCGCTTTAACGGCTTCCTCTGTCCCTTTCCTTCTCTCTCTCTCTCTCTCTCTCTCTCTCTCTCTCTCTCTCTCTCCCTCCCTCGTGAGCGCGCGCGGAGCTTAAGAATTTAATTCGAGACTTAATTGCGCCGTGAGATTTAATTCAGTCGGAATCCGCGAAGTCGCAACAAACGACGTATCCACGTTGAATTTTGAGCAAGATCGATCCGGTCGATGCGGGCGAAGCAATCGGATTCTAGACGGATCTAGGGCGAATTGCCTCTGAAGTATACGCTGACGGTATGAATATTAGATACCGAGGCGAAACTATCTCGCGCGCATATATGTTCGTCATTATTCGTCAGATAATCACGAAATCATATACTTGTATATGGCCCACGCGTATCGTTCGTTCAAGGGAAAATGATCAAGGGAAAAAGATCGATCTTTGATCGTTACGCTCGCAACGACCTGCTAATTCTTGTCACACGTTGAGCGAGATGTTCATACGCTGCTAGACAAGGAGAGGATTGCGTCAACATTGCACGGGAACCGGCGGAACGGCGGGTAAATGCGAGACGGAAAGTGCAGGGTGCAGAGGGTGGAGACTCGAATGCGAGAAAAAGGATGATGAAGAATGGTTAGGGGCAGGAAGAGATGGAGGGGAAGAGGGAAGAGAGGGGGGAGAGAGAGAGAGAGAGAGAGAGAGAGAGAAGGAGAGGGTGAGAGGAAAACGGGGAAGCGCGCTTTGATCATTTACGCGAGAAATATGGCTATTGAGAGCGCTCGGCTTTCGCATTAGCTGCTGTCAATGAAAAACTACGGCAAAGATTTGTTCGCTGCTTCCGGCGCCGTGTCGCTTAAAGAGTTAATTAGAAGCTCGACTAGATAACAAAGAGCGAAGGATCGAAAACATTTTGAATTACGTCCGTAATCATTTCCGCCGGATTAACGGTAACGATCGTGTGGCGATTATTGATCGCATCGCGGCGATATAGGTAGCGATCTCGCTACCTGTGTTCGCGCGTACGTTCATCTCGCCGAATTCCGGCGGGCGATTAAAAAAACGCGAGAGAGAACGATATTATATCGCGATGATATATTGCGTGTTGCAAGTGATATTCGTCAAAAAATTGTCGAAATTTCAATTATATGAAAATATACAATTCGATGGAACAAAAAGAACGTTTGTACGTTTAATGTCGTTGGAATAATGATAAAATGGTAGAAATATTGGTTAGGTAATATGAAAGGTAAATTGCAGGTTAAGCGAAACATCAGTAAAGAATAAAGATCTCAGGCGCGATTAAAGGCGCGATTCGTCCGCTCGCAGTTTGCTCGTTCTCTCTTCGTACTCACGTGTTCTAACTCGCTTGCCCTTGGACGCCAGCCCGTGATGTTTCATCCTGAGTCGGTGCTGGCGTTGATCTGCCAAGTTGGTCGCGTTCACGAATGGATAGCCCATGCTCGACACGCTCGACGCGTTGGCGGCCATCTTCCTCTGGATGTCCTCGAAGATTTGCGCCTTCTGCGCTTCCACCGTTTGCCTGTACGTCTGGTAATATGGCCAGTCGGACTTTCCGTCGCTGTATCGCGTTTTGCCGTCGGTGACCTTCGTATTACGTGGCACCGGGGTCACGGTGAACCTCGGCCTCTGCAGCGCGTACGACGAGGCGATGCTGTTGATGATCGCCGCCTTGTTGTCTCGCGGTACGTCCGTCACGTATTGCTGACCGCTTCCGGTCGTGCTCCAATATCTGCAGGCAGAATAAACGAAGTATTGGCAGCGAAACGCGATTGGGGTAACTTTGGCGATATCGAAATATTTTCTTTTTTCTCTACTTTATTCATTTTCACCGAAGTATTGAAGGTTTCGTCAGGATATACGAGGCAGGAGGGAATATTGTATTTGAGAAAAGAAATTTTTATAATTGTCGTTGTAAGAAATTTGGTGATGGTGGAAATTCGCGCGAAATTTGCAAAAGTATATGCTCTATATACTTTTGCGCTACTAAGAATGAAAAGTAAAGATGAACAACCGTTCCTCTGTCGCGATTATTCGCTTCGCGCGGGATCAGTTATCAATTATCATGTTCATAACATTATTCGGCTATAATTGTCGTCGTTTCCGCGCGCGCGCGTGTGTTTTGGCGTTTTGGCGGCGCGTCTGACGCTTTAACGTGAATCGACGAAATTTCCATTACTGTCCAGTCCATACACTCGCAATCAATACTCGATGAATATACATGCAGTTGGTCGCTGCGGTAGCGGAACGCCACGGTGTAGACAGCGCCTAGACAGTAATAAGTTGGACGAGCGCGTTAGGTAGCAATTACTAAATGGAACTGGCCAGGTATTAGCGGCGCGCTGAACTTGTCGGACGCCATTTGCCAAACACGTGCGTATTACTTGCAACGAGTCGCGCCCTGCTCTCGAAGCGAAGTTGAAAATTAATTATTCCCGGGCGGGTAAAATTCGCGAATTCGCAAATAGCAAAAATGGCCGTGGGCTCATGCCCCCAGTCGATCCGTCGACGAATTAATTTAGCGCCGGCCGACGCCGTTACAACTTACCGTCCAATTACGATGGCAAATGGTCAGATAAATCCGCGCTTCGTAGCCCGTGCGCGTTTTAACATAGTCGTTGCGTTAACACGCTCGCAACGAGCATGTTATATTAATGCGTTAATGTTCGGCCTTCGTGAAAAATCACGATGTCGCTCCGAAAATGTTCGTTCGAGGCAAATACGAGGGTCGCGTCGGAGCGCGTTCGAAAGCGCTGTGCAAGCGGCGGATAGACGTACAACGCGTACGCTAGAATTATAATAGCTCTCTGGACCCGAGACTTATTCATAATTACGCTCGAAAAGTAACATAAATTAATATACTGCAATTGAGAGATAAATGCTGACGAGTCAAACAAAGCGTACTAAATGCATACTAAAGTACAATATTAATAATAGTAATAATACAGTACGCGGTACATTATTGCTTTTTCGCGTGATTATATTATTTAATGCAGCGCTCTCCCTCTCTCTCTCTCTCTCTCTCTCTCTCTCTCTCTCGTTCTCTCGCTCTTTCGCTCTGGTTTCGTATGCACGCGCGCGCACGACCACGTAAATGAGCGAGGATTTACGGATCGTTCGGTAGCGCGTATCCAGACTATTACTCCGATTAGAAGATTTCCTAAATTTTCGCCACTCGGATTTGTCCGCCGGGTCTCGTTATTCGTTATGAACCGCGTCTACGGCGCGGCCCTCCGCCGTAGTTTCCGCCGGTGCACTCCGGCGAATCGAATTTAGCGAGCGGAGGCGTGCGGGCGTGCGAAAACAATTTCGAAAATTGATTTACGGTTGGCATGTGGTACACATAAGAGAGAAGAATCAAGGGGTTGTGGTGTGGGTTGTCGGACGGCGGCCTACCGAAACTTGCGTTTCACGCGAAGGAAAACTTATTCACCGCGCTTCGCTTCTCTCTCGCCCGCTCTCTTTTTGTCTCCGGCTCTGGCTTTGGCTTCCTCTCGCTTTTTCGCTCGTCCTCTCTCCCTCCCTCTCTCTCTCTCTCTCTCTCTCTCTCTCTCTCTCTCTCTCTCTGCCGCCCTCTCTCGTCCTCTTCGTTCCCTCTCGGCTCTCGCCCATTCTTTCGCGATTCTGTCAGCTGTGGAAAATTCGCTCTTCATGTATTTGCGCGCAGCGAGACGTCGTTTTCATCGCGCGGCAACGTTTATTCTCGCTCGATATGATCGCCGGATGCCACCGCATAGGGATGCCACGCATCGTCATTCGTGACGCTTGCGATTTAATTACTGTAACGATTTACGGTCAAAATTTGCAATTTCAAGCGCAATCGATTAGAAAATTGTGCTTAATTAAGGTAATTACAAATTCCGATTGTAATTTGTGACCCAATTAAGCAGTTGTGCTTTACAATATGTACGGACAATGCATATGCAATCGGCGCGCGAGTTCGAGTGCGGTTACGAAGCCGGAATTGTCTAATTATCATAGTTATCCACTGATTACAGATTTCTCTCTGTGGCCGCATAGCGCGGGCAAATAAGATAAAATTACTTTGCGTTCGACCACGTTTTGCGCGTCGCTGTTGAAGCTGCGGAGTTTCGAAGCGCGTTTATTTTACGTATCGAGGTACCACGCGAGGCCGTTGGTCGCTCGCGGTCGATGATGCTTCGTTATCCTTTAATCATCCTGTCCTTCTTAAGCGTAATTTGAATCGCGCTTAATGCCGATAGAGTGCTCATCGGTATTAAAAATACGACGGCGCGGTTCGTTTAGCATAATCGTATTTTCCGCATGATAATTTGCATGTATGCAGATCCGGCGCGAGCTTACTTTTTTCCTCGGCTTTAATATTCCTCCAGAAAGTTCCGTGCTTCGCGGCTAGCCGCCGCTAAGAACCGAGTTTGTGTGTGTGTGTGTGTGTGTGGGGAGGGGAGGGAGCATAACTTTTTAATTAAACTGACCTACCATTACACCGCGGCGGCTGTCAACCGAAAAACCTAAACGAATGCGCGAACTTTGCTCACTCGCCGCGAGACTTACCGCCTGATTGGGAACGGAAAACCCATCGTTTTAACTCCGCGAACACTCGCCCGAATTGCTCGCCCGACCGAATGTCAACAGTCGTTCGAATCGATCGCCGTTCCTGCGGTGTTTCTGTAACGACCCGTGGAATTTTACCGTAGGAAATCGAACGACAGCTCGGAACTAATCGGCTACATGAAGCGATCCTCGTTGCGCCCTCCTGGGCCCGCGTAATGACGTCGTCTCCGTCGATTATGGTCGTGTCGCGCGTCCGCAGGAAGTTTGGCGAAGTAGGGTAAACAGTATATAGTCACCGGCAATAATCGGTATAGTTATGGGGCGTGGGGAGAAGTACCGCAGGAAATTGCCTTCGAACATTGTTACACTCGCTATTTCATAATGGGGAGTAATTTTAAAAGTGGCTTCTTACTTGCTCATCACTGTACAGAGTCGTTGTCTCTCAAGAAAGCTCGACAAACATTGTCTGACAAGTTGGACAAGTTGGGCACTCAAGTGTCTAAATTAAAGCCTTGGGTTTATGTACGCGCAAAATTTATATTTTAGTTACGTATAAGGTATATCGCACGCGGACGGTTACAGTCGATCGAAGCTCATTTGATTTCTGACCTTTCAGACAAAAAGAAGCACGTCTCTCATGAGTTACAGTACTTTGATTCCGTTTTGATCCTGCTACTTTAATCTTTATACTTGATTTCAATAAGCAGTATATTAGTTGCGTAACTTAGCGTCAGCTGCAGCTAGAATATTTACTTGTCGCAGCTAATAAATAATCTAAGAAAGATCAATGAGGGAACGTAATTAATGGATAAGTAAAGTAGCAAATTTTGTCCCTTCGTAATCTCTTTATTATCCATTTCTTCACTGGCCATTCGAATTTGACGGAATTTGCAAACCTAATGTAAAGCCCAAATCTCGATCTGGCTTACTTTTAAATCAGCGCTCACAATCGTTTGTAAGAATTAAAGCACGAAAGTGCCGATATTACTTTCCACTTTCTACATTCAATAATGTAGTACGCCAATTCGTCTGAGAGGCTCCTCTCGTCATGCGTTCTTTGTTTTCGTATTGATTTCCATTCTACGGGTGGGGCAGCGATCGTTTCAGGTCCAAAATAACACAATGCTCTGTTATCGCGCAAACTTATTGCGAGTCCGCGTTGGATCTGCGAAGATCGGAATCGCATTATTTGGCGAACGGCGTGGCGCGGGAAAGAAACGTATCGCCCTAACGTCCACGTATATATACGTATATATTCCCCACATTTCGGACTCGGGGGGTCATTAACGATGACGATAATACGCGATGCTGTCGTCATCGCGGCTGTGACAGTCCTGCGATTACCAGCCCCTTTCCCTTCCCTCTCTCTCTCTCTCTCTCTCTCTCTCTTCCTCTCGCAGGACTTTCGATCCTGGTCGGTGACGCCGCGACCGGCCGTTTGATTTACGTATTTTACGTCGCTCGTTTGAATTTAGCAGCGACGGACTTAATATGTGCTTCGGAGAACGTGATACACACAATGGACGCTGGTGAATTAACCGCGTGGTAATGCTCCCGCATTCGCCGAAGGGTTCGCGGGGGAGGCAGCAGGAGGCAGCAGGAGGCAGCAGGAGGCAGGAGGAGGGAGCGAAGGGAGGGATGACTTTAAGCGTTAATGCATATACCTCTCGCTGTTGGTCTCGGATTTTAGCTCCATTATACCGTGGCGTTCTCGTTACGCATTTGTTTGCGCGATATGCATAATATGCTTTATTCTATGAGCTGCTCTCTTCGTCAATACGATGTTTTTAGCTACACACGATGCGCTGCGAGTCATGTACACGCGTCGCGAGTTTTCCAGGGGATAACGAAGGCAACACGCGAAAGGAAACATGACGCGAAACAACAAACGCGATTTAACGCGAGTCTGACGCTCGTCTCGCCGTCGCTCGTTATTATTCGCTCGTTCGATGCACGCGTATGCGTGATCGCGTTTGCGTAACTCGCTCGGGGAGCCAGAGTCGCGCAAATTATAGAATCTGGCAAAAAAGAGTTATTCGGATTTCCGGCCGCGTTTAAGAGATTCAGGAGTATTGTTCAATATGAGTGCGAACTATGGCGGAGATTTTCCAACGGTACGGCAGTAATAGCATTTACATTTTGGATTATGCAAGCTGTTTCCGCGGCGCGGCTCGTGCGGATTATCATACAGCTCGTGCA